ACTAGTAATGCTGATTTTTTTCCCCCCACATTGCCAGAAAACATTCACTATTGGATCCTCTTGCTGGGAATTAGCTCCAGTTTGCCTTAGCCCTAATGCAGCTCAATATATTTACCTTGCCAGGAAATACATGTTTGTATAACCAGAAATTTATCGCCATACGCTCATATTGTTAACGATCAATAAACTTTATCATGCCAATGACTCAATCCCAGATGCTTATCCTACCAGGAATTCATTCCTCTAAATTAGAGTCTTCTACAAATCTATAATTAACATGTAAGCCATAAACCTTTCCTGTACTGCCAGTATTCATAGACTACAGCTCCCTTCACATTTGCTTTAGAGGAAATAGAGAAAACTGTGGAGGAAACAGTTCTAAAGATGTAAACATGTCATAAATAAGCTAGACATGCCATCTCTGTATGGTACAGCTACGAGAACTTTTTCCTTCCTGCCAGGTCCATCAATAAATTTCCTAGCAAGAACAACATTTCTGATGGCTTCTGCCAACTCTTCCCCATCTCTTTCAAGTACAGACCACTGTGTTTAACAATTCTTCCAAGAATTAATTTACTATGTTTGCCAATATCCCCAAATTAAATGATATTGGGTCTGCCAGGAATTTACTTCATAAGATCTTCCTGCCAGGATTTAGAGGATTTCAGATTTACATATCTTCAGGAGCCTGAAGATTCCAGTGACTAAGAAAATGTATTTTACATGGACGCATTATGCAATTAGCACTGACTCTTCAGCAGCCAATGGCACTTTGTCAGAAGAGTTTTGTATCTGCTTCCACCCAGCTGTTAGGCCAGTAAAACGTAGCTCAGCTTGAAACGGTCTCTGGTGTTATTTTTTCAATCTGGAATTGTCAGATAACTACAAATTTCTGATGCAAATAACTCCAGAGACACAACTTATCTTGCACTGGACTTTCCAGGAGGACCTTAAGAATAACACCTAGAAATCATTGCTCAACCAATAGATTAATTCCATACTCAGAGGTTTGTTTTTTTTTTTTCTTTCTTTTCTTTTTCCTTTTGTATTTTTATCTATCAGATGTGTGAAATCAAGCAAAGAATCATTCTAAGAGTTGAGATACAATTTCAGGAATTGTTCAAAAATTGAAGCAGTTCAGTATTCTATCTTTAGGTATTGTTTTCAATCTTTAAAACAAAATTTTGTGTAATTCACAAGATCACATGGGCTTTCAAAAAAAAACTTTGACAGAAAACATGTTTTGCAAAATACTAACAGTGCTTATCAATTCTGTAGGATATACTGGAGAACTGAAAATGTTTCCTTTGAGTTCATGCCATGTAGAGTTCTGGTTTAAACAGACTGTCTATATATGCAAACACAAATACCCACGCATAATGATTTTACATAATCTCAGATTTCAACTGCAACTTCTTATAGAAATAAATCCCCAATATTGACAGTAACAATGAAATAGTCAAGCTGCTCATAACAAAAAACTTCACAGAAATTGCTAAGATATATCAGTACTTTAAGCAATAAATCACATTTACTCTGAAGTTATATATGAAATTCAGATGACTGCCTAGTCTAATTTATAACCTATCATCCCTAAGTAGCCAATATAAATTCTTCCACTACCTATAAACATCTAAATTTGTGGTTTTTTTTCACAAAACCAAGTAGATCAGTACAGATACCCCTAAATTTGTTCCTGTTAAAAGCGTCTCTTTTTTTATTTTGAAATGATCTTCTCACATTCCATCATTAGAGCTTGTTTGATTTCTATCTCACTCTTCAGTATTATCACTTCATTCATGGCTGTTACTATGTGTCTGTTTTCTCATCTATTCTCACACCTTTCACAGATGAAGTTCATAGATTTTATCCTTCCTGTGCAACCCATTAATTCATCACACTTTAAGCACAGGGTATTTCGGTTGTAGCTTAAGAAAAATGTCACTATCTGAGGATAAAATCATGGATGCCCCCTTACTCTTAATATGTGGATTTTTCCAACGCAACAGGCTTAAGCAACAGCATGGTACAGCACTCTTGCTCTCTGAAAAAGGGCACTGTGGGATTTTTGATTTTCTGGGGTTTTTTTCTTGTTTTTTTTTTTTTTTTTTTTACATTCCAAAGATGTGTCAAACACCAGAAAAACTTGTTAAAGATTCTGATGAGGAATTTTAGAAACAAACTGATTCAAAACAAATTCCATCTACAGTTTTATGGATTCGTGCCAGGTTTAGAGTCCAAAACTGAATATCTTTTTTTTTTCTGGTATTGATTGAGCAACTACCAAGAATCACCACAAACTTTCCAATTCACAGACCCCATACCATGAACCTGGTGTCCTTTTGGGAATAATACACTAGAACTGTAATCAAATCTGACTCTGGCTGAAGTCTGAAATGTTACACTCAGATTTACAGACTTGTTTTCTCTTCTGCTCTTCAATTTTGAGCTCAACCAGGTTTATATTTCAAAACTGTGTTGCTTGCCCGGCCAAATATTTAGATTCAATACTTGGCAGAGGAAAACTGTATGATCTAAACCACTAGAAAGGTACACGGTTAAAATCCCAAGAAGCCAGAGATCTACTTAGCACGCATTTACCAACTCCATTATACAAAACTGAATTTGTCACAGGGGAAAACTGTGATTTCTAGTACAAGCAAAGTTCAACTCCACCCTTACAAACCAGTACACAAGTATATGCTTCTAAAAACACTTCTGTGCTCAATAACACAATAAAGCAAGCAGTATGTATTAAATAGTAACATACTGACCTAGCCAGTTCATGAAAGAAGGTGCCCAGAGGTAAGGAAGCATTTAAGTGCTGCCCTGCATGTTGACATACTACTTTAGAGGCATAAGTGATTTTCTTTGAACATAGACATCAAGCTTCATAGTGCACTCTGCAGCAGTACATGAAGAATTTACAATGCTTGTAAAAAGAAAATCTGCAAATTCATACAGTACCTCATAAAAAAATAATTCCAATGGAAAAATCTTGGGGCATATTTTTCCAAAAAATCACCTTACTACATGAGCATGAAATACTTGTTGGTCTGCACAAGCATAAATTTCCTTCCTAACAGGCCAGTCCCGAGTAAGTGAGTTAACTTCATACCTGACAACTTCTTGCAGAAATGCAGACTAATTTGACCATTTGTCCGAAATCAATAATGTGATTTCTTTCAGAAGTACTGCTCTGAAAGGATAAATTTAACATATGACACACAAGCTGGCTTTTCGTGCCTACAATAAAGTGGTTGCTACCCTTTCATACGTGCCCAAGCTAGTGATGCTATAGCTAACATGAACACCAAGAGCAGCAAAGCTTTGCGAACAGGGAGCTCTTCAGCAGCTGAGGGCAACGCAGAGGCTATGCTTTTATAGTCACAGTTAACACTAATGAGGTAGTTGCTTTAAGTAGATCTACAAATACATTTACATCATCTCCAGTTACAACAAAATAGCCATATCTTAGTTAACCAAACTCTCATAGCATAATTCAAGATCAAGTCATTTATATGTAATCAAATGTGTCAGTCTAGTTTTCTATACAACACCTCGTTGAAATCTGTATTCATGACTTTTTCTTTCCTAATACTGCAGTTTTGTAACCCTCTGGAGGGAATATATGTACATGGACTGAGGCTGTCTCTGGCAGCTAGCTATTATGTCTCCCATGAACTACAGGTACTTTCAGACAACAGCAGTATTATGAAAGTTACCTGATTCAGAATATCTGCAGTAAGAAAAAAAAGGCTGCAAGATCTACACAGCACAGCCATGCTAATTTTTGCATTAATTTACACATCACAGAAAAGACAAATTTTCTACCTTCAAAAAGCCCACTTTTTATTTTCTTGTTAAAAAAATAAAAAATAAATTCAGTATTCAGGAAATTGGAGGTTTTTCTGAGTGAGCAGTGAGGGACTGTGCTGCAGGGGGGGGGTGGGGGGGTGCGATTTGTTTCTTTTATGTGCGCTTTCTTTGTTTTTAATAAATACCAAAATTTTTAGCTGAGAAGCACAGGCCACATTGTAATGATCAATTTAATCGCTTCCTTGAAGAGCATGGAGTGACTCCCCTGGAGCCCTGTTGCAGTCACCTTTATGGGGACAGGACTCTTGCTGCTTCTAACACACCCTCTGATGCCTACAAATATTCTCCCTGCCCCACCATCCTGACCAAATCTGTGACAGAGCTAAAAGGCAACACATAAACCACTTGTCTGTACAAAGTGTGTTAAATGCAGCACGTGGGTTTCCACTAACAGCAGCATATCAGTCAATGCTGCAGAAAAATATGCTCATTTCCTTCCATTTCCTTAGTCTCAGTCTTTAGCTTTTATCTCTAATGAAACAGTAGCTTTCCTTAACCCTAACTCAACCACCATAAGCTCTACGTTATTTGTACTAGACCTCTGTCTTTACCAGGCAAAGGCTGAAAGAGAAACTTAATAGTTGGCTTTTTTCTTATAAACACACATTATCTGCAGTTTCTATATGACTTGATTATTTATGTGATTAGAAATTCTGTTAGAGAATTGCTGTATTTGAATTCATTCAAAGGCTTTGCAAGGACATGCAAAGATAGCCTACAAACTCAGTGTTGATTTTACACCATAAAATTTATGCAAAGGTAGTAAATAATTCATCAGTCAGCATTAATAAGAAGAGCAGCTACTCCGCCCATGGCAGAGGGGTTGAAAATAGATGATCTTAAGGTCCTTTTCAACCCTAACCATTCCACACGATTCTACAGCTATCATGTGATGGTCTCCAGAACACAAGCCAGTCCATCCTGCTAGAAAAGCAAATTTACTTCAAAAAATAATTCCTAAATTTTTGATGTTACAATATGGTTTAAAATAGGTGAAAATGGGTTATTATTGCAGCCCTTGAAAACAAAATGTTTGCTTGTCTGCTGACAACATGGTATTGTTTCATAATAAGTAATCAGAAAGTAATAACCATAGCTAGCAGACAAAATAAATAATTTACCTTGTGTGGACTGGTCAATGTTTTTTCTTTTTCTGCTATGACTATTATAATTAAGTCGTAGCTCTTGGCTATATTCATTCAGAGTTTCTCTTGAGTCATAGGATTGCCTTTGCTTTCCCCCATCTTCACTTTCATCTGAAGAACTTGTGTAAGTTAGATCCACTTCATGTTTCACTTTTGACAGCGGCTGGTAGGGTTTGCAGTCCATCTGCTCCATCTCTGATCAAATAGGCTCAAAGTCATGAAAACAAGCAACTGGAACTCCTTAAGGAAATAGTCCTGGAAAACAAAAACAATGAGCCATTTCAGATATTATTTATAAGTTTAGCTCACAAAGACCCAATTTTGTTTTTAGTTGATATAAACCAATTAAATGATACTAATGTCACTATAATCCAGGAAAGAATCTGAACACGTCTTGTTTTACTGTCGTACTTTCTAAAAATAGAATTAAAAAACCAGCAACTTGAAGACAGAAATAAAAGCTCTTAAGCACTAGCCCATTAGACCAAGCAACTTTTTCCTCTGTAACTCCTGTCTGAACCCTTGTCCTGTAACCTTGCCTTCATGAAGCTATTTCCATCATTCATTTTAACGCATACTCTGCAATGGAGTAACAGGGGCTATAGCACACCTTTTACAGCAGCACAGTTCCGGAACAGGGAGCTTTGTTAAAATAAGTTTGGGGGTGGGTTGGTTTGGGGTTTTTGTGTTGGTTGGTTTTTGGTTGGTTTTGGTTTTTTTTCCTAATGATTAATAGATGCTATTAACCTAGAAAAAGAAATGTAACAATAAAGGCGGCTGTAAACACTATTGCTAGAAGACCAAACCCACTGAAGTTAAAAGAGATTTTGCTTAATTAAAAAGTAATTGATCATAGCTGCTTAATGATTTTAAGGTCAGCAGCAGAGGTAAGTCAGTCTAATATCCAGTTTGGTATCAGCCCATTTCTAATCTGCAACAAGGACTTTTAACTCCATGCACTGCCAGCTGTGGGTGCAAAATAAGGATCTTCAAATGCACTTTTTCACAGAAAAAGAGAAACCACACAAAAGATAAACATAAAAAAAACCACAAAAAGCACTTTTTGTTAGAAGGCTATAGAGACAAGTTTAGCTTCTGAAATTATCTGAATTTCTGAGAAACAACTAATGGTAGCTGTCACAGTGCTCCAGCACAGTAAAACTTCATCTCATGCTTATGTGTCCTCCCAATGCTTTTGAATGGACCACCTTCCACCAGAGGTTAACACCATGGAATGCACACCTTCACTACAGTTCAGGACACTATCTGGAAAAAGAGCTTCTTGAAACAAAAAAAGTCAGGGAGTTTCATGCAGTCATTTAACCTGAGATGGAATACCTCTTAGAAACTACTCACACCAGGATAAAAAACTCTAGAATTAAAAAAATCAACCAACCAAACCAAAGAAACAAACCACAAAACCAAAAATGAAATGCAGTTCACATCTCATAGTCAAGAAAGTGGGCTTGAAAGCACCCAGGTTAATAAAAACATCTTTAAGAGAAAGAGAACTAAAAGGATAAACCAGGGAGCTGCCAGTCTGGCAGAGACCAAGGCTGCTGACAAGTGTGTTGCGGGGTTTCAGCAATGAAGACAAGTTTTTGTGCTCTGGATTGACTGCACTGTATCATGTTGGCATTAAGATGCCTCTGCAGACAAGTTATTAATAAGCACTATCTGTTCTCAAAAGCAATTTGCCTAAATAATTTACTGTTATTTGCCAACACTGCCTATTATTCCCTAAGAAGTTCAGTACTTATTTGATGAGTCGCTTTAATAGTCTGATGTGCAACAGAAGAACACAAAGGTGCTGTGACTTACAAGCAGGCAGCTGGCTTAAAAGATTACCCAATGACTCTGTAGAAATGGTTACTGACAGGAAAAAGCTCTCCTATATATCCTGCCTGACAGAACAAATGGAAATGATGCTACAAAAGCCAGAGGAAAATGAGGAGAAATTACAGGCCTCTACTAAGAAGATGCAGTAGACAAGAAATAAATTTTGCCATGAAGGCAACAAGTGGAAGCGGCCTCAGACGTACATGGTGCATCTCACTTTCAAAAGTGCAAAACGATGAACCTGACAAATTTAGCTCATGGCTGGAAAGATCAGCAGCATACATGTGTACTTTGACTTATGGAGACAAAATTTACGTAGAAGTTCCTCCTAAAAGATAACCTTGTGCACATCCATTGTGCAGGAGGTTTCAATACCGACTTGGGGTTTTTTAAACAAATAACAAAAGTTTATTAGGACACACAGAGACCTGTAAACTTGGGCCGCAGAAAAACAACTACCTACTACTTGTTTTTATTCTTTTAAAACAAGTTTAATAACCAGTCTTCACTTTTTGTGAGAACAGTTCATAGCAAAAATGTCTGATGATGTTAACCGAGGCAGCAGAGGGATCAAATTATTTAATATAAGCATTTAATATTAGATTCATTACATATTCCAGGACTTCTCTTTAACTGTGTTACTTTTGTATGTGCTATCTTCTAATGCTTGAGGACATGCATTTTCTCAAATCTAAACTAATGTAAAAGATCCATGAAAGTCCCTCAGAGACTGTGATTTTATTATTCCTTGTTACTTAATGGCAAGAATGATTAAAAAGCACAACCAAGTTATGAGTTCACAACCTTGTCACCACATTTGCCCTACTCCTGCCATCGCCATACATGACCAGCTACAGGGGCAGCCTGGACTATGCATGTGAAGCCACAGCCCAAACTTTCTCAGCTAATACTGCCCACCAAGCCACTTAAGCAAAGAGCTGTTACACTCACTGTCTTAAGTGCATGCTGCAAAAGTCCAGGAAGACATACCATTAAGTTATATACCCTGTATAGCTGAAGGATGCAGATGTAATGCAGACGGATCCCAAGTTGCCTACTCATTCACCACCCAAAAGAAGAAAATCTTCACCTCACCTGGCTAAGTCTTCCCTTCCCTCCCTAGCCCAACTTTACTAAAGCCACATAAAGCTCTGTGGAGCCAATGGCTCACATATGAGCTGGAGATATAGCACCAGAGTGACAAATGTCATGGTAAACCTTGATTTCCGGTCCCACACGGACTAAACTTGTGTTCCCTTTGGTTTTGCCTAGGACATTAATGTCTCATAAACCCACAGCTACCTGGCCTGATATAAAAACTGGCGATAAATTATTTGTGAGAACTGGAAAAATACTTCATAATTTTTTTTTATAATAAATGCTTTTATGAACCAGGACCACATGATAAAAAACAGACGAAATCTTCCAAGCTTTCCTACAGTAAGAGATTCAGTTAAATTTAAGAATGATGGCATGTTATGATAACCTGAATTTAAACACTGACATCAAACACTTCAGCCATATTTCATATTTTGTTTGGAAAAGGACAACACAACAAGCAACACAAAGTGCTGGAATAGGGCAGGAGTATAAAGGACAGTGCCTGGATGTTTACATGGGTTGTTTCTTCAAATAAATGGCCTTCAAGTAACTAAACAAAATACCCAACCGATCAATATCAAGTTGACCTTGTCAGCAAAATGATAAAGTCTCATAAAAGCTTATAGCTCCTGTAAGTGACCTTTGTGCAACTGCATTAATGTGCTCCTCCTCACAAATAGCACTTTTTTTGACCTTTCCATCACTGTTCTGTCATTGAAGTTTTCACTAAATATTTAATAAAATATTATAAAAAATATATAAAAGTTATTTATTCATATAAATATACAAATATGAATGATATATTTCGGCACTGAATAGCAAGTAATTCTCAACCATACTTTAAACCGCATAGTCTATATAGTTTAGATTTGAAAAAGAATACACAACTAATCATTCAAATTCACAATGAAATACTTCTGCAAATTCAAAAAAAGTCAAAAAATTCTGTTAGATGGGAAAATGCCACCTTTTAAATACTGGAACTGATATAAGCATGAATATAGATTTGTATTTTTAATGCATGAGTTATGCCAGTTTCTAAATACATGTTGTACATGTTATTACAAGCTATTTTCACATTTCACTTGCATCAAACCTCTCTTACATCAAACACCTAACTTTCATGTTCTGCTTAGATCAGAAGCCCACTTGTTCCAAAATGCAGTAATGCCATGATAACCATGGCTGATGAGCAAGCCTGGGCTGAGGCTGTTTGCAGTGCACATACTAACGAATAGCTGTTTTATAAGAAAACTTACTGTACACATTTGTACTGCATACAGGCTCTGTACTCAAACACAGTGATACCACAGACATCACGTTACTTAACACTGCTTTGCATAAATTCTTATCAGGCTGCTCTGACAGGGTGCCCATTTAATGAGCCGATTTCCACACTAATTATCCACTATCAACCCCATCAAATTACCAGTGGCATACCCAGTTGGTTACACATACCCAGTCCGGACTTGTTTAGAGGTCAGGATGTGGATAATAATGAATAATCTGTAGCTGATTTTTACAAGTGTAAGAACATGAAGATCTGTAACCTTTTTTTGGCCTCAACTAAGCAATATGTCTAATATTCAGATATTCCAAACTACACAAAATTAAAATGTAATTGCAGTTATAATGTTAAAATATAACCAGAAACAGTCCTTGTTTACATGTATTGAAAACCTATTCAGAAGGCAGCCTCCTGTAATGCCATTTTTCATTCTCTGAGGACTGTTCAATCAGCTACAGAACCCAGCTCCAGATTTGCTCAATTCTCTCCTATATTTCTTTTCTTTTAACATATACCCTTTATCTGAAAGCTACCATTTGCCTATCACCTTTACAGACCACTGGTTTTTGAAATTAACTACCAAGCAGGTATTTCAGATCTGGATTGCTGAAGGCAAAAAGAACAGCACCTTTATTCTGCAAGTGTTTTCTGAAATACAAACCTGTGAAATATGAAAGGCAAAACAAAGGAAACACTCTTTATTTGAGAATCTTTGAGAAATGCAGTAGCAAAGGGAAAAAACAATATTCTGACCTTGTACATAACTTCAAAAGTATCTCACTCAAATATCTGTTCAGATATTATAAACAAAGGAAGACCTTATGTCATCATTAAAGTTCTCTGTTTCACAGAACAGTTACACACACAAAGAGATGCCTGATAAAACAGTTGAGCGGCATTAGAGCAGGAACAAATTATGTTTCTAGACGATGCATGGAATAGGTCGCAGGATAAAGAACTATGGAAACTCTGGTTAAGTCTGCAGGACGGAAGCAGGTAAGTTTTTTCCTTCCCACTGGAAAGAAAG